TCTCACTCTGTGAGTCTGACTTCTGAGTGGTGAGCTGCTCAGCGGGCATTCTCTTCATGGTATCTTCAGTGCAAGGTAGAAAAACCCTGACTCTACAGGGTACTGATATGAAATCTCTAGGGATCTAGATCCATGTGACTTGCCCAGAAGTTAAGGAAGAAAGGATAGTGGGGGGGCTGATATTTCAGTCCAGCTCTTCTGGAGAGTCTCCTCAAGTTCCAGAACAACGGAATGGCAACACTGGTATCTTTTTCCTTCTTTTCTCCAATTGTGAATGTGCCTTATTCACGTTTTATTTCAACATAACCTCAATTATGCCCTTTCCCTTATCCCTACTGTTCCAGGATGCTAGTTCTCCTCTAATGTCGTACTAGACACTGGGCTTTCATTCCCTCAAGGAGAGACGTCTGTCTCATATGCAATTCTGGTGATATGCGTAGGTAGAGCCCCTAAAAAGTTCTATATTAAACTCTTAATATTTTTTCACTGTGAGATACTTTGAAAAAATGGTTATGATTCTTACCATACAGAATTTACACTTTTAGTCTTCTGGTTCTGGAAGAATATTTAGAAAAGCTCTCAGCTGCTCTTGTTACCAACACAGCAGTTATCAATGCTATTTAAGAAGTAGTATATATGAGTTGATATGTTCCTTAGAGAGCAAATAGGAAATACAAACCTTTAATTATGTATAAAGATTCAGGACTGAAAGGCCTATACCTACATCTAGAAAAAAGCTGAGACTCACACTCCCTTTCTTTATACTATATAAGCAATAATATAAAAAACCCAAAACTACCAAAACCAAACAGGATCCTGTTATTAGGATCCACATCTCGGGATATTTTCTGGGTATGAATTTAAGGATGCAGAGCAGTTCCTGTTCCATTCAAAGATAATCTGCTACATAAATGTCTTAATATAGCATGGGTAATCTGTTTTAATTATGATTATTCTCTCATTTTTGTATGGTGGATATTCCTAACTCTTACTATAACAAATACCTTTTGTAACTTTAGAGAATCCCAGTGTCCCATGCTTCGAATAGTTCATAATAGTTAATTTCTGAAATCGTGATTTTCTGAAACCACTTCACATTTTTAATAAAACCAAAACTTTTATTAAAAAGAAATATAAAATCCACTCTTTGTGTAAAAGTGGCATACTGACACATAGACTTGGAAAATATCTTGCACTTGGAATGTAATAAATCAGCTTTTTCAGATTTGTTGAACATATTAAACCATTCTTACTGTAGAAGGGAAAATAATCCTTGAATTTAGTTTTACTATAACTGGAGCATTAATGCATTGATTATTTGAAATAAGTGAGAGATGTACACTTGACAGCACACTGTCTGTTTTTTCCTTCTCTTTTATTTCCTTCATTTCAAAGTCATGTTTTCCTTTCTTCTCCACAGCTTGAGAAGGATTAGAGAATATGGAATATAGTGAACGTTTTAATACAGACTACAGCCCTGAAAACATACAAGTAGAGGTTGTCTTTTTCATTTCATAAATGAAGTAAAGAAAGAATAAGTGTTGGTTTTGGAGAATGTAAGGGGGAAAATATTAATTTCTTCCAGTGACTAGGAGTACTGATAGATCTTGCATTCTGTCAACAGATGACTTGAGTCTTTAGTGCCTGTTAAAGATTTGTCTATCTGTTCTGAAACTACAAAGAAAGTTGCTTTTAATTAAAAACATATATTTGAAAATGAAATGATGACTTTTTTTTTGCTGTGTCCTCTTTTTGATAGGTTTTCCACCTGCTGCAGTACTAGCAAAACGTGAAGAAAAGTTTATACTGTGAACATTAAATATTCAAACCAAATACTAATATTAAGTGTTGATTTTCTTCCAATTTCAATGCATCTGGAAGCTGACAATGAAGTCCATGATGTTAAGCTCTGATGTTACTGGTGTAATAAAAATGATAATTTTATTTGCAGCAAAAATTAATGGTAGCTACAAAATTATTTTCAGAAATAAAAAATTTTAGCCAATTTGACTCAGGTACATTTGTACCAGCTTTATGATTTCAATAAGTCTGCAAGCCTGTAAACGGAGGAGCAGATTTTCAACAAAATTAATATTTTATTTTGAAAGAAAATTGCATCTTATCTTGTAAATGTTCTGAACTGGTAGAGTAGGTGGTCTTCTTCTTGAGATAAATAACCATGGTGACTCAGTCAAGTCTTTAACATTAGATAGTTGTGAGTGTAAGTAGGTACATATAGCTTCAATTCTCGGTTTAGTAAGATACAGTTTGACGACTTAGTTTTTGTTTTAGCTATATATGTCTATTATTAATTTATTTTCTTAAAATATGAATTACTGATGCCAATAAAAAGAGGTGGATTCACAGACAGCTATAAGAATGTGAATGTGAATGGTTTTCAAAGCAGTAGACAGAAAAGGAGGGGGATTTTAGGAATAAATATAATGTGAGTTGGAATGTATTCCCTATACAATGAAAAAATTCTGGCATGAGCAAAAATGTAAGAAATTGCACCTAAATTTCAAACATATTCAGAGTTTCAAAGGTGTATATGAAAAAGTTCAGTAAAGTTTTTAATGGTATTGCACAGCTTCGCTTTCTTCTCATAATGTTCATTCCTCCCCAAGCTTCAACTTTCCAAACGAAAAAAAATATTCTAAGCCCATCATGGAGAATGTAGAGGGAAAATTGACAAAGTTTGCATTGTAATTACCTTTTCCAGATTAATTTCATAAGCCTTGCAAAAAATAAATGTTTTCAGCCAGATTGCTCTGCCCAAACTCCATCCCTGAGCAGCTTTTGTTGCAGACTCTGATATCACAGATTCCAGTATCGTGGATTCTTACTTTTATAGAGAGAGGAAATTGAAGGAAAGTGGAAAGTTCATAAAGGTAGACTGACAGGAAGATAGGAAAACTACCTAATCCTACATTAATAAATGTTTTTATTATTGCACTTCTTGCTACAGTTTAGCCATACAGAAACTGCATTTTAAAGAAGGGAGAATTTAGTTCTATAGAACAGTATATTGCAAAATGTCATATATTTGCATCTTATAAGGGATTGATCTGGTGGAATAAATGTTGAAACTGAAAGTCATCTAATTGCTTAGTCTTTTTCATCACTCCCTGATGTTCTTTATTGTTAGTTCATGTTCAAAATTATGTACAATCTTTGTGTTTGAATAAAGTGTTTTTTTCACAGTCCAGAATTTCTAATGTGCTGAAATGTATGTCCAAAATTTCACCTATTATTCTGTACTATAGACGTGAACTACACTCACAACAGGCCATCTTCATTATAGCAGCCCTGGGTTGCATAACATTTTAAATAAAATTACCCTTATTTTCAATAAGGAAATAGTTACATATTCAAATAAATACCATGTCAAGACAGCTGCTTGCTCATTGAGTAGTCTCCAGCAGCAACATAGGCACTAAAAGGGCTGGATTGATGTTGGACGGATCTCAGTAGCAGCTGTGGGGCGAAAAGAAAATGACCCATAGGTAATGAAGCTTTCTGTGAAGAACTGAAGGAGCACAGAAAACACTCTCCATGCTTCATGCTTCTCCCTCTTCAAGGGCATGGCGCAGATTCTCTGTACAAATGGGGATCTGTAAAAGGTGTTGTCAAGGGACATGATTACAAGGGCAGCAGCAGTCTGCTTTCTGCTTGCAGGAAGAAAACCCCGCCTGATGAGTGCTTTTCTGCACATGAATTAGTACACCACTCCCAGAAACTCTGTGCTGAATGACCATAAAGATGAACAACGAGATGAAAAATGCGCTCCAGTCAATGCAAATCTGAAGAAATTCAATAGATATCAAAGGATCTATTTAATTTATTTCAGTTTCATTCAAATATTGGCAGTATTGTCTTCTGCAATAAGGCTTTGTAAATTAGTATGCTTATAAATAAAAATTGATCATAATGGTTTTTATATTAGGCACCTTTAAATTACCAATTAATTGTAACTAATTATGATATCCAGATGTACAGAGTAAGGAACGAATCAGGTGTAAGCACAGATGCAAGATCTTCATTTTGTATCAGAAATCTGAAGATGACATTTTCACACAATGTTGGTTATCCCCAAAACCATAACAATGCATAGTTCTTTACTACATTTTAAAACAAAGACAATGAAAGCAATCATGGCCAGTCTGAGCACTGAAGCTATAAACCTACTGATCGGTATTTACAAAGGGGCATGTTCAACTCATGTGACAATGTAAATGCGACCGGCAGTGAGGAACAAAAGCAAAATCTTATGCTTATATTAAAAACATGTAATATTTATAAGAATAATATTTAAATGTTCACAACAATATTTTTAGAAAGTTTAGTGTTTGAAATGAAACGTTGCTTCTAATAAAAATCGAACGTATGTTTACAGAAGACAGCAAGTGTGGTAGGCATTTCATTTATTGCAATAAACATGTTAGCAAAGCGTCAGTGTCATAGTTTGAAAGTAAAACAAAATCACGTACATTCCTCTGGGATTTGTAATAAACACTGGGAGAAGGAGAGTAGCAGTGCTTTATTCTGTAATGCTGCAACACACAGCATACATCCCCAGCCAGTCCTAAAATATCTTCTGCACTTGCTGAAAGAATTTTATTCCTGTATGCTGATCTCCCTTTGTTCATGTGACTCTGTTAGGGGTGTCTTTTGTGCATACAGAGCACAAGCACAAGCAAAGCCTGAAGGCTGAATTTCCTGGGTTTCAGCATCAATGAAAAAATCTAGAAGTATTGGCTAACTATCTTTACCAACCTACCTTACCGATTTCTTTATAACCAATGCCGCATATAGTATGAAGTTACATAATATAATATTCAGTGAAATGACAAAGGAAGGTGAGAGTTTGCTTGCTGGCTTACCTGTAGCACTGTACTGCCTTTGACAGTGACCATTACTTGTATCTATAGAATCAGCTGAAAAGTACATGAAGAAAATTAAAAAAAAACCGCAGCAAATTCTTCTCAGTCACTACAGACCTGAATGGCAGTTGATGACAGTTTCTGCACTCTCCTGAATAATCTAGAAATAAGTCAACTAAACAATCTTGTTTTGTGGTTTGTTTCGTTTTGTTTATTTTTAGGCCACTATATAAAATAGTGGGTTTCAGTAAGCATGGAGGCATTTCTGTAGTGGAGACACTGGTGTTCAGATGCTGATCATACAATAGCTTATTCCAGTTCATAAAAGTGCAAGTAACAGGGAGTTTCCTCTGCATTTTTTCCCCCTATATAACCTCTGACAAAACCTGAATGTTTTCCAGAATGACAATATGAAACTTGGTGTCCTCAGCTTTCATGGATTTCACAAAATCTGTGGCAAACTGTCTTTGGTCTATTGCATTTAGAGTCACACTCACAGACTTGCTGACAGTCCCATGGAGGTTGACATCTTTGAAGTAGTGTATGTTGAGGAGAAAGATCCCTGTAACTTGAGTGCTAAATGGAGTCAGGGCAAAACTCCAGTCTGACCTCCAAGGGCTGTTCCAATGATTTGAAGATTGATACTGATGGGCCTCAATGCAGGCCACAAAAATCTGCCTGTCCCCTAGGCTTTTTTTTGAACACAAATCATTCCCTACAGGAAAGTGGCAGCTCATGGAAGCCTTTGAGTCACTGTACAGGGCCTCTCACCATAGCTTCTCCTCATCAAGCATCACACTGTGTTGAGGGTTTACTGGTTACCCCATGCAGGTGGTTGAAGAGAATTTCTCCTGAGGGTCAAAAAAGCTTTTTCCAGCTTAAGCTATCGTAGTGGGTCAATAGCACAGCACAGCCCTTTCTTCAGATTGGGGTGAGGTTGTTCTTGTTGTGACAGGCCCCTACAGGGGTATCATCCTGCATCACCAGCTTGTCATCTGGGACCAGAGCAGAGACATCTTGGACAAGCTGGCCAAACTCCCCAGAAGGGAACTGGCACAGCAGAATCACAGAATGTAAGGAGTTGGAAGGGACCTAGAAAGATCTAGTCCAACCCCAATGCCAGAGCAGGATCACCTAGAGTAGGTCACACAGGCCGCAGGTGAGAGAAATCTCCTCCAGCTTGTGGAGCTCCTGCCTCATGCACATGATGGGGATGAGGGCTCTCCAAAGAGTGGGACACCACTGGAGAGGAGAGGGCATCTGTGCCACTTCATGCTGGAGGGAAAAGGCACAAGATGGCGTCAGGAAGCAGAGGCAGGAAGTGGGGGTGCTGGAGGCCCAGAGACTGTGACCTCACAGTGGCACTGAGGCAACACAGGTGCGGGTGGCAAGCGTGGGGTCTGTGCCTAGACGACGCTGGACATTCTGGCAGAAGCACGCGGGTAGGGAACCAGCGCAAACCAAGGTGGTGTCCTGCCAGTGTCACCACAGTGAAGAGACCAGAACAGGCGACGAAGAGCCACCATGGAAGAGAACAGATATCCTTCTCCTGCTCTACCTCCTCCTCCTTTTACTGCTCTACCTGCTCCTCTGCTCTCCCTGCCCTACAATAACTGCTATTTTGTGACCTCCCCCTGTGCATGCCTCTTTCATGCCAGGCCTGAACTTGGCCTGTGCATGCATAAGACCCCCCAGCTGGGTGGCAGAGGAGGGCCTGGGGCAGGCAGTCCAGTCTGGGCTGGCCTGAGGCAGCCGGAGCTGGCTGAGCCTGGTTGGGTGAATGCAGTGCTGGGCATCCTCACCTCACTGCTGCTTGTTGTTGGCACATTTCCCTCCCCTCACTGGGCCTCTTTCTTCACCCTGACCACCCCTTCTTTTCCTTCACACCCCCCCCATTCTCTTTCTCTTTTCCTATTCATCACCTTTTCCCTCAGAGTCTTTCAGCACATAGAAAAATATCTTCCTATGTGCCTCAGGGCCTGCAACATTATCAGAAATCAAAAGATAAGGAAGTTCTGGAGTGTGAGAAAAGCAAAGTGCAAGCTTTTTAGGTTTAAAAATAATTAAATTTCTCTCCCTCATCCTCCTAGTAAAAGGCAATGTCATGAACCAGAAGTTTCCTTAACCTGATCTGTCATACGTGGTTTTTGTCTGTCATTCAGAGTGACTTCTTGGACGGGAAGATTGATTTAAAGATGACAATGAAGCTACTTGAAAAACTGCAAATGCTTTGTGATTATGCACACGTGAAACATGTTTTCAGGGTGAGAAATATGTAGTTTAAGCAATTAAATACATTTAGAAGTCCAGTTACACAAGTGCCTTGTATTTGCTGACTTTTGAAAGCTGATGTTTTGAGAAATGAATTTCATGTTTGTAGTATGTGCAAAAATCAGCAAATATTTTACCTTATACAGGTCTTTTATTTCTGTGTAAAATAGATAACTGTGTGGTTGCATTACCTCCATGGCTTCACCAGACCAAAATAGTGTGGGGTGATGGAAAATATATAGATTTTGATTCCTAACTTTTTTGGTAACAATGTCTCCTTTGAGAAAAATTAAAATACTCTGGTTTCATCCGATCCAGCTGCTTCTTTGATGAAGGTAATGAGCACAGGCATGCCTGTCTGATGCTGGTCAGAGCCATTAGAGTAACTTCCTAAAAATCCTTTTGCCAGAAGGACAATGTGAAGTTGTCTGATCTGCTCAGGCTTCAGGCCGCCATAGATCCAACACAGTTGTTCCTTTAATTTTCCACTATACTTCTCATTTGAAGTATCTAAGAGTATTTACTGTAATGTTCCTTTGAGAAATTTCAGAATCATGAACATTAAGGCTTTTAAAGCATAATACATTTTCATATATTTGCTCTCAAGACTAAGTCTTTGTCAAGATACTTCTTTTTCTGAGTAGCAAAGATTTTATGTACATTAATAAAAATAAGAATAATAAAAATCTACCAACAAAAATTTTCTAACAATTTTTTTAATATCAACATGATTTTCATAACTTAAATTTGAAAAGCTTCCATGTAGTATTATTGCCTGTATTTCATCAAGAGGCAACTGAGATAGAAAATTTCTTTTTTTGCCCAGTTTCACTTTGTGCCAAAACCTGAGTGAACATCGGAGTTCTGATAGATTGTTTAATTCCAAAATAAGTTGGTAGATTCTATTTGACATTTATGAGTAAATTTGCAGTTTTCTTAAAGATGTTAAGAATTCTATTGAGGATATCAGCCTTAGATGTGGGATTTCTCAAGCAGTAATGAAATGCAATTTATTAGCATTTGTATTGAATTATTTTCTTGCTGGTGATTTTTGTTAAAATTGATCATTTCGATTCTCTTTCACAAACTCAAAGCAAATACTTAAGAATTGACTTGTAAATTTTTTGGCTAAAAATTCTCATGAAATTAAACTTTTCTACCTGTTTGGGTTATCTAAAGTATTACTTTTATTGTACTTATTCAGACACCTCTTAGTAGGAACTGTACTGCGTAGGAAGAAGCTGGTAATGTATCATTAGGGTTTTAGTTTTTACGGTGTCTCTTCAACACTAACCTAGTTTAGTAATAATCAAAAGTCTTCATCAAAGAGCAGCCAGAGCTTGTAAGCTTTTTTACGTTTATGTGGAAGCTCTACTAACCATAGTAGTTGCCATGTTATTAGATGCTGAAATTGAGCCTCTTTCATAGACTCAGTTTAAAGAGCCAATATTTTTTGGTGAGTAAATTTCCAAAGTTTCTCTTAGTTTGGCAACTTTTAAGAATTATACAAGCTAAATGAATAGAAACAACTATATTTCATATGGACATTTATATATTTCATGTAGAAAGTTTAAACTAATAAATAAAATTGTTAAGTCTGGGAAAAATGTAGATGTCAGAAATGGTAAAAAAGTATTTTCCTGCTCAAATTCTTTTCCCTTTTTGATTTTTCTAGTGGCTTTAATGCTGAAACACTGAAATTAATTAATGTGCTAACATTTTGTAAGCTCTATGACAGCAAGTTACAGTTTAAGAATTCTGAAAGTGTGAATAATTAATATGAGTTAAACGTTCTGGCTTGTTAAGAATAGAACACAGTGTCATAGGTTATTATAAAGTATCTTGTCTCCAAACTTTAACAGTGTTTCCTATCTGATGTATTGAAAGACCTGGATCTCATGATAATTCGGTCATTCTTATTCCATTTTTTAGATTACTGTTTGCTGTATGTTGTATGTAAATTTAACTTTTTACAGTATGGTTTAAATTGCTGTTGAAGATGTATTATAGTAAATGCATTTTCCACTCAATTTTTATGCTGCAGACTTATTTTACTGCGTAGCATTTTGGAGGGTTTATATAATGTGTTTTGTTATTGCATATGCATTATGTAGAAAGTTATTGTAGCTACTTAAATGCTGATTTTGTCATACGGTATGTTTAAATTTGTATCAAATATTTTTAGCACACAAATTCAAATTTAAAAGTTACATATAGGACCAGAAGAACAAAATTTGATAATGTATTGCAGCCACTGTTACTTGAGATTTTCTTTATTGTTCTCGGTCTTATGATCAGTTATAACAGCGTGTTTTGTGTGTTTATTTGTATCATTGCATATCTTTGTATTGACTGGTGTGAATTTTTTTCAGAAAACAATTGACAAACGGAAGGATCACATGATTAACATAGAAGACTTCAGGGCAATTTATCGAACTATTGTACACAGACCTGAATTTAATGAACTTTTCCGTGTTTATGCGCCAAACTCCAGAATTCTAAGTTACACTGAGCTCATTGAATTTCTCAAAAAAGAACAACATGAAACTGAAGCTTGTGAAACAACTGCCTTAGAAATTATTTTAAAGCATGAACCCATTGAAGAAGGTATGCATAGTTTAAATATTTGATTGTTAGATCTTATTTATTGTGCTTCTGTCAGTGACTGTGTTCATACTTTTGCTGACTATGCAAATTGAACTTTTAAAGGGATATCAATGTAAGCAATTATAATTATGCATTTTGTGTAATATAATTTGTAAGCACTTGTACAAAATGTTGATTTTTTTGAAATTCAGATCTTTAAACATTTTAAATGTAATACTACAAGAAACCTTGAACAAAGCAGAATAAATTTACACAACACATTCCTCAGTGATAGCATATTGCATTACTTACCAGATCTTACTTCTTGTTGCAAGACTGGCCCAAAAACTACATGTAGATTGCTTAAAACAAAATACAATTTTCATAGAGCAGAGGAACTGAAATAAAGTGTATTAAATCTTTTTAATGCCCATGGAAATATGTGAATGACCATTAAGAAGTCATATTGAGTTTTTTTATTTAACTAAGTGTTTAAAAATAATTCTCCTTAATTAATTAGAGGAATACAAATATTGCATTGCAAAGACAAAAAAAAAAATAGAAATTTTGTTTTGTTAACAACTGGTCTGTTCAGCACAGGATATTTCTGTTAAGGGAAATCACCTATAATTAAATCAGTCATAGAGGTTGATTTTTTTTATTTTATTTTCTGTATTAAAGTCTGGAGACTGAGGACAGCATTTTTGAAGACTAGAAAATAGCAGAATTTAGTGTTATGTAATTTATTTTGATTTAATTACTGAGATTCAAAAAATCCATTGCACTTCCAAGCATATTTTGCAAACAAGACTGTTCTAATCCTACTTGGGGGTCACATTAATTGTTACAACATTGTTGATATAGCAGAGCTTTTTGCTCAGAGTTTCTCTTACTAGTGGAAAGAATACATGCTACTAGAGTTTGATACAGTACTTCCATTTTGTACTATTTAAACCTACAATTTATTTTAATAGAATGCTCTCCGTAAATCATATTTTTGCACTTGGTATGTCTATATTTGTGTCATATGGCAGAAAGTTTAAATGTAGAAGCAATTTAATAGCAGAGATTTCACAGAGGAAAGCAACTTTTAAGGATGTATCTACTGAGAATGTTATATCTCTACCCTCTCCTGCCCAAACCCAAAGACTTATATGTCCCTTTGACTGACTTGCAGAAGAAGCACTATGTAAGATTTTCAGAGGTGCCTGACCACCTTTTCTGAATCATGAGAACTCTGAGATGAGTGGAAATTTGTTAAATCTGTAATATGTGAATTCTTAGCTGTTGAAGTCTGCTTCAAGTTGTGGTGCACCATTTCTGCTGAGTTTCACTGAACATAGCTTGAGGCAAAGTTTGCAACTAAGAAGCTAAGAAGAAAAAAGCAGAGTTAACTGCATTTTGTTGCAAGCTTTGTACAGTGACTTTGTTGGTTTCCTCTGGTTCCCCATCTTTGATAAGGAGTGGAATTTATAACTGGTTAAGAAAAATAAACCTAAGGTAGAGAAAATCTTCCTTTTGCGATAACAACTTTGGAATATCGATGTTGATCATTTCCACCATAGGGTAAAGAAGAAACTGGATCACTCTTTCAATAAGAGTGTTTCACTAAGAGTCACTCACTGTCCAGTAATGGTTACAAAACTATTCACCTTATGCCATTGCTTTCTGAGGTTGCCTTTCAAATTAGAACATGCTTTATTGAATATATTCTACTCTTGCTGAGAACTAATGTGTTCAATAATTAATTATCTAATAAGTTACCAGTTTTAAAAGGTGTGGTTTGTTGTTTTTTTTTGGTTTTGAGCTATTCTACTTTGATGGGAAAGTTAATAACCATAAAGCAGTTAAACAATGCTGACTCTTTAGTCAGTTGGAAAACACATCTGTAAATATCAACTAAAGTTTCTATAGTTTTAATTTAATGTCTAGTTTAAATTTCAGATGCTGAGCCAAAGTCTTGTTTGTTTCTTCATCTGTGATAAAATTGTCTTGTAGTTGCAAATAATCTTACTGAGTGAAATAATAACTGTATTGTTCATGCTCCTTTGAGTGAACTAATACTCCCACTCAAACTTATTTATTGGAAGGTTCCAGATGTGATTGACATGGTAGTTGATTCATATGGTGTTGTGATAGACCATTTTGTGTAACTGTCATTCTGAATTTGCTATAGACTAGTCTTCATCAGAATGATCTGTTGGACTCATCTGCCATCCTTGTCCTGTGCATTGCAGAAAGTGAAAAGGGCAGATTTTGACACTTGATTGACTGGTTTGCTAATAGTAACAACCATTCTCTGATAAACTTGATAGCACTAGTATGTCAAGATTAAGATGAAAACAATGACCAGATTTCATATAACATTGTTGATGAATCCGTCTATAGCATTTAGTGCATCCCTAGCAGTTATGTGCTGAGAGAGAAGAGTTTTCAATGCTATTGAGCCAGATAACTGAATTAACTCTCTGTACTGTAGTTAGTTCAGGAATAGTATAGAATATGTTACTCTTTCTTTTTTATTGTACTATTTAAATTTCTAATGGAAAAAATGCTGCATTAACAGATGTTTTGTGTGTGTGTTATAAAGCTCGTGTTTTTAGCTGAAGGAACCATTTTATGGAAGAGATCATAAAAGAGGGTAACACATCATTCAGACCTGAGAGTTGTCTTACTAACATCCAAATGTCAGTTTTGTTCTATACAAACATTTTATTATCGCTCACTTTTATTACTCATTTTGAATAAAGGTCTTGAGTAATATATGAGATTAAAGAAAACATTACAACCGAATGCACTTTTTTTTTAAAGCTTGTATCTCTTTTTTAAAAAACCTGTTGCTCATGACTCAGTATTTGCATGGTTAGGATTAAAGGCACAGCGAGGATAAGAAGGTGCATCCCACTATTATTTACATTCTTGTGCTATTCAAAGTCTCTTCTCCTGTCTCTGTGTTTTCTTGCTAGTCAGTACAAAACCAGGTCAAAAATACAATCCTGTCTTGAAAAAAATACTTACTTTGTAAATAACAATATAGGCTTGGTGCCTGTCAGATAAAGAATCTGAGTAATCCAGAGTATATTTGTGAACAAAAAAAAATCTTCAGTTTATTCTTAGGATATACATTCATTTAAACTTTTTTAATGTATGTGCATGTTTGTGAGAAAGAAAGCAAGAGGGAGAGCATGCATTTGCAGGAGAGACGTTTTGATCCCGTTGACCAATTGTAAACCAATTGTAAATTTAAAACAGCAGAGACCTCAGTCGAATTCCTACAGATTTCATAAAAAAATGTGTGAAATAAAAAAGATTACTTAAAAATCTCAACTAAAACAATGGCTGAAGCTGGATTTATGAGATACAACAATTCAGATGTGTGAAAGAGCATGTAAATATCCAGATTTAGGAAAATCTTTCACCAGAATAAGACAATCGATCATGAGATACAAACCCTTAGAAAACTAAACTGCAACTCAGACAGGTTTTATTTTAGACATTAGGAAGAAATTCTTCTCTATGAGAGTGGTGAGACACTGGCACAGGTTGCCCAGGGAAGTTGTGGGTGCCCCCTCCCTGGAAGTGTTCAAGGCCAGGTTGGACAGGGCTTTAGGCAACCTGGTGTGGTGGGAGGTGTCCCTGCCCATGGCAGGGGGTTGGGCTGGATGATCTTTAAGGTCCCTTCCAACCCAAACCACTCTATGATTCTATGATTCTATGACTTTATTCCAGTATGCACCAGTATTAGTTGCACGTGTGGGTCCAGTAGAAAATAGACTCCCTAGAATGTAAACTCAGAGTAGAAATAGAATAATATTCTTACCTTAGTCAAGGAAATATTTCTGTCTTTACAGTTCACTTAGAGTATAAATGTTTTAGTCTGGCATTAAGTAGCTAGATTTCATAGTGTGAAACTCCATCTGATAAGGTTTCTGCCTTGAGGCTATTATTATTTGATACTTTGAACAATTATTGAAAGCTTCCTTCTTCCAATATAGCAGTGTAACTTTGCCTCTGATTGCAAGTATTTCTCATGAATTCACCCCTAAGATTCCCAGCAGACATATCTGTACCCATTTCAATATCTCTGGTTGCCAAGAAACATAAACATTTAATTACTAATTTGGCTATAAGAAAACAAAGAACATACATATTTAAACATAGGGAAAAACACCTTTCTCCCCATTCCCCAGACTCAACTTCAGTTCAGGCTTCTCTCCTCCCCACTTCCTAGCCTCCATCTTAGTCCAGACACCTCTCCTCCCATCTTGCAGTTGCAGCAGGTGGTACTTGGCCCCTTCAGTGAGGAAACAGGCATTACAGGAGGCTCTGGTCAATGCATAGTGATTTCTTTCTACTGCTCCACCTTTCTCACACTTTTTCATTCTTACTTGTTTTATCTGCTTCAGCATGGATCCTGCACAGGCCTCAGTCCCTTCAGGGCAGCAAACATTTTATGAAAGCTTTCATTTTTAATTTCCATAAAGAAAGAAAAATACTTTCAAAGAAGTTTCAAGATAAAGAAGAAAGCAGAATGTAATAAACTCTTAAAAAGCATAGGCATATAATGTAATCCAAGTCTTTAAAATACTCAAGTCGTATCCATAATTCTTCTCTGATATGGCAGTGTTTGTATATATGGCAGAACTGGAATTTACCTTAACTGGAGGAAAGGGGAATTTTATTTTTTTAAATTATGTATTGAAAAAAAGAATATTATGAATACATTTTATTCCAGACTATCAAAAAATGGAAAGGCAAGAAAAAAGCATTAAACTTTTTAAACAAGAGGCTACAAGAAACCAGAAATCTTTTCTTGCTTTCACTTTTTCTTTCTACACTAAATGGATATGTGTACATACTAACTACTACTACAGAATCCTAAAGGAGAAAAAGACTGAGGTTCTTCTTGGGAAGAAATGTGAGGCCTTGATGAAACTATCTTTTCACTGTGGAATAGTTATGGAGATGAATTCTCTTTTCTTGTAATGGAGAAGCAGAAAATGTCTGTAAATGGTCAGAAAATAGTATGACTGTGCTATTTCTCAGAACTTAAAAAGCACCCCATTCCATTTCTAACTAGTTTTGGTATCTTCATCAGACAAAGGTAAGAGAGAGTTGTAGAGAAGCCCAGTAAGTTTACTCTACTGCTAAGAAAAGGGTGAATGAATAGTAGCAATAATAAAAAATTAAGCTTACTTTTAACTTAAACTCTGGAAACGATAATATCTTCTACCAAACATCAGATCTCTAAGAATGTATCTTAGCAGATGGCATACCATTTATGTTCACGTGGTGCTTTTTCGCATATCTCAATTCACAGAACTGCATATGCTACCAGAACTGTTAGTAGAAAGCCACTCTCTTCCTGCTTACAGATAGGTCTTATAATTTCACAAATTTTCTTGAGTTTTGGTAGTTCTCCAGAAACACGATGGTGACTTTAGTTATATGCAGTGCAAGGACAGAAACTAGAGATCCCTGAGAAAAAAAATTATAAGCCACTGTAATACAATGGCCTGTAATAAACTGCATAAAAACATGAAATATTTTTAGTCCATTGACTACAGACATGAGCTGCATCTTTTACAGAAGCCAAAGACTTTACATGCTGGCTAACAAAGTAAGACAAATTTGCTTTATAAGTTTGTCACTTTTAGAGGATTATGATCGTGAGCATATTTATCTAAACATAATTGCTCGTCCTGAGAACACAGTAGTTATCTTTTATCAATGACAAGAACAGCCGGGAAAACATCAAAAGTAATTCAGAAAATAAGAAAAAGTTTGAAAAGTCAATATTTTTCATTGATTATAAAAATGAATGTAAAAAAGAAAGATGTTACTGAAAAACAAAGAAACAAATAAAAAAAGATTTTCTGACCAGAGAAATATACAGAATAAGAAAAATAAATGAATCAGAAATGAAAATGAGATACTATCAATGAAAAGCTTTCTCTTCAAAGGTATTATGTCTACAATCCATGAATTCATTATAGATAAAGCATACAGAATGAATGTATTCTGTTTTGAACAACATGTAAAAAAATTCAAAATGTTTTTAAAACCCCAGAAAGTAGAAACTTAATCCAATTGTTACAAGTGTAAAACAATATAACTTGGGCATGTGAATAAATCAAAAATGTCAAGATACTGAATAAGATACAACTGTCAAGAGTCATCAGGGTAGCAATTAGTCATTCTGCAAATATGTTCGTTATAAGAAAGACCAAGGAAATTCTTGATGCACTACCTAACTACAATCAGGTGTCTAATATTATTAATGAGACTAGAGTAAGATCTCAATCAAAAATATGGAAAAAACAGGGTAAGACATGCTTAAATGACAATCAGATCAGTGAAGACAGGTTGACAAATCCAAGTTCTTAGAAAATAGACTGTAATAAGCTTGGCTAATACAGGTTACCTTCAAAAACACGTGGAGAATGGATGATAAATTGAAAGACTGGGAAAGATCAAATGTAATATCTATTTTAGAAAGGGAACATCCAAGGAACTAGACACCAGTCAGTTACCAGAAAAAAATGGAACAAATAGTGAATATGTAATCACCTCTAAGATGCTAAGGATGAGTAACAGCTTGTCAGGACATTCCACAAAGAAGTAATATCCAGTATTCTTCTATGAGAGTGTAACAGTGCTGGTGGATAGAGAAAAAACAAAAAATCCTACTTTTAACACTGTCTTGCATTCTAAGAAGCAAGTTGAGGAAGCAGGCAAAATAGTTTCTCTGAGCATTGTTTTGGGATCCAGACTTCAATTAAGCTATTGATAAGCTGGGTGATGGAATAGAAATTAATTTCATTAAATTTAGATTTGACACCAGAACTTCAAGTATAGTATATATAGTATAATATAGTATGACATAGAAAAGAATGATGGAGTTTAATAAGGGAGAAACACTATGTTCCATTTAGGGCATCAAACAAGAAGGAAGTTCACCAGATGGCAAGAATTTTAGAAGTTGTAGAAGAACAAAAAAAAATTCAAATGTCCAAGAAAACCTAACCTAAACAAAAAGATGCAATGAATTTGATTAGTTTCTTCTGAAAAGCAGTGGAATGATGGGAAGTGTGACAGCAGTCTTCATATGTGTATAAGACTGTGGAAAAAAGGGAGAGGAGTAGTACAAAACAGAACAATGATTTTGGACAGCAAGGAAGTTTTGGGGTAAATGTTATGGAAAACTTTCTAACAAGAAGGTTACTTAGGTGCTGAAATGAGATTACTAGAATGTCTGAGGATTCTTCAGCAATGGAAGTCTTTAAGAATGCCTCCAACAGACTTCTGGTAGGAATACAATTTGTAAGGTTAAGGGCAAACGTATACATGCATGATGTCTGGAGGGCCAGGTTTTCTAGTTCACAAATCTGTGTAATTTAGAAATAATTCTTTTCTTTGTGTTACCATCACCAGAATGATTTTCATAAATTCTCATTCAGGTAGAAAAATTTCAGTCTGAACACATGCTCAAGATTGATAATTGTCATGTAAACCTGTAAATTTTAATTTGTATAGCTATATTGACAATTAAAAGTTCAGATAAGCGTGGAGATTTTTTTTGTCAAAAGTTTGTATACAATGACGTCTTTAAGTTATCATTAACAGAAAATAATCTTGAATTACTTGCTGTTTAATTAATACTAGTCTACTATGGTGACAGTAATAAGGTAATTTTAGAGCCAGAACTGGGCAAAATCCCTGACAATTTCAAACTAGGTTATGTTTAGCAGCAAGGCTGACTTCTGAGATTATATAATTTTCAAAATTATTACATTTGAAGCATGAGTTTGGAACAGCAGTTGGCAGTATTATGGATCTCTTTGTCATGAAATCAGTTAAAAACAAAACAAATAGGATAACTATCACTGGTATGGAGGCAATTAGCACATTTTGTTATAGATGTAATAATATAATAATCTTGGTTTGCAATTCATCTTTGTGGACAGTCATTTATTTTGTTAAGATGATATTTTTATTTCAAATACTTCTCATTGAAACATTATTTCATCAATATTTATTTCGAATTTTCCACTACTGAGGAAGATATTTGGTGCTAGGAACTGAAGTTTCTGCAAGATTGTTTTGACAGTCTTCAACTGACATTTTGTAGAACAATTCCTGATCGTTCTACAGAGAAAAGAAAATTCTGTTTATGCATTGACTGGCATGTTACTTTCCAAAACTAAACAACAAATATTTTCCTTTGTATTTATTTAGGACTACTGTAAATTCTTACTGCTGTCCATAGAAGAATAAAGTGTCACAACACATATATGTCCTCTCATAATTTTGAAGCACAGCAATTCAGGTCTAGAATTGCACGCATCTGTTGTTTGTGTTTATATCGTTTAATATGACTTTTAAAACTGCAAGAAAGTGTTATGCTGTATAACCTTTAACAATGCTCAGGATTGGCTATTAAGCATTATGGAAAGTACACAGATATAACTATTAGTTTAGCTTCACATCAGAAATTTTTTGCCTTCTTTTTTTTCTAGTGAGGAAAAAAAGGCAGATGTCATTTGAAGGATTTGTGAGGTACTTGATCTCAGAAGACAGTTCGGTATTTAAAAGTGATCACAGGACCGTCTACCAAGATATGAACCACCCATTATGTGACTATTTTATTTCATCTTCTCACAACACCTACTTGGTATCTGACCAACTAATAGGGCGCAGTGATTTATGGGGATATGTCAGGTATTTAGATAATGTTTTTTAATATTTTAAACTTTCTTTGTCTTTTTGTAAATGAATACTAAGTTGCATATAATCCAGCTTGGCAATAAGGAACAAAACCATCAGAGATACAAGTAGAAAACGTGTGAGGGATATATTATTCTGTGTGTATACTTTTCAATATATTTGTCAAGCCATCTGTTCATAGTCTGGAAACAATCTATTTTTTTCACTTATGTCTCAAAAAATCTACTTCACAGCAAATTAAATCTATAGTATGCTGCATGGTATATGATTAAATCACCTTTTAATCTCAACATGCCATGCAAAAATAAATAACTCCCTGAAATAAATTCCTGGGCAAGTTCAATCTGATCAATATACATGATGTAAGGGAACAGTATGGTGGAGTATGTCAAGCATATCTGTGATCAGTGTATTTTACAATGTGATCAGTTTAGAAAAAAAACAACAGCAAATGTAGGCACTATAGTAGCCAAGAGGGAGAAGAAAATTTTTGTTTAAACGTGCAGCATATGACTCCAAGAAGAGAAGGAAAACAGGATGCCTTACTAACAATACACATTTAGGAGAAATTATCAGAGAAGAAGAAAAGGGGTTGTGCAATAGGGGTAATATAGAGGGACACATAAGGTATGAAGAATTTGGAAAACAGGTATCCAGCTTTCCTATTTGTACTACTTCAGTGAAGTGAAAGCAGTTGGAACTATCATCTAGCTGAACTTTTTTGTTTTGGTTGTTCTCTGGATATCTAATAACGGCTTTCAACCATCAGAAACACTAGTGTATTTATTTCTATGAGTATTTAAAATTATATGACATTAATACTGCATTGCTTAAAGTAATTGCAAAGAGGGTATAAAATTACCTGCCTTCCTTTTTGTCTAAGGAAAATATAAAATGTTACATTTGTCTTTGCAGACAAATCCTGGGATAGTATCCAAAAAGGCCCTTTCAAACATATCTCCTACATTGAGCAAGAATTTGTCCTAATTCCAAAATTGAATTCTCCAATTTTATTTAAATTTTTGACCTTTTTTTTTTCATTTGTTAATGAAGGTTATCCAGATAATCCATTTTACTCCATAATGCTCTAATAAGGTTTATTAGCTAATATGCCTAAGATAAACAAAATATAGCTGTCTCCAATCTGTACAATTATATAGGATATATTTTCTTTTGTGTTTTTTTTGGTAGGGTTTTTTTTTGTAATTATTCAATATGTTTTTAATCAGAAATATGGTGACTTGTACAAGAAAGTTTGATATCTTTCTTTTGACTGTAAAATTGTTTCTCTTGTTCTTTTGAAGTGCTCTCTTAAAAGGATGTCGTTGTCTGGAAATTGACTGCTGGGATGGCTCAGACAATGAACCTGTTGTGTATCATGGTCACACTTTAACGAGCAAAATTTCATTTCATTCTGTAATTCAAGTGATAGACAAGTATGCATTTGCGGTATGTATACCTATATATATCTACTGGTTAAAATGTGATGGTGGCTTTCAGGGACATGGTTGTTGTCCGAGATTCTTCAGGGTAAAAAAACAGAGACAGAGCTTGTGGCAGTGGACGTTGCTGAAATAAATAATGGGAAAATTGTGCTCTCTCTTAATATATTTTTAAAATTTTATTTAAAGAATGGTAAACTTATTTTGCTGATAATAACTCAAATATTTAAACAAGGACTGAATATGAAGTGAACCGGTACTTCAGAAACAGTCTGATGCTTTTCTCCTTTTTTATATCTTTTCAATTTTTCTCTTATTGTTGTTGCTATCAGTCTGTCATATCCTATGCTTGAATTTACAAAATAGAGAAAAATGTTAGATTGTATCTGAATTTGAGACTTTGTTTTCCATTTCCTCTCTTTTTATTTTGAATTCAAGTCCTGATAAAGATTACCATCTTCAGCTATCTTTTTGCCAGACAACTCATTAAGGTAATGTCCCTTCTGCCTATCTTTGGCAAATCAGTGAAAGCTGGAGAGCTTTTGGCACTGTCTCAGTCTTTTGTATAGGTTTCTGGCAAAACTCCTGCTCAAATGAAACCCTGAATGACTATTAAGATAACTCTTGTATTCAATCCAGCATTATGTGTGTGAATATATACACCTATGATCATACATGTGTATGGATCTTTAGACATATATATTTATAGCTTTCTCAGAGTGAAGCAAAGCTGTATTTTATCTGTTCCGATTTCTATATAAAATTTAATTAGCCTCTGATTTTAAAAGATAGTGAAAACAAATATATGGTTTTGTTTCATTGTTCTTCTTAACCCATTAGACATAACTCATTTGTTTTTGATAATACACAGCATATTGTATGTAACAGTAATACAAGTTTCAATTAACAAGAACAAGTTACAATAAGATTATAAAATCACGACAGTAGGTAATGGTTTGTACCAGCTGTCTGACCAGGGTAAGGTGTGCTTCTGTTAGTGGTCAACAGCAGATGCTCAGGCAGAAAGTGTAAAAACAGGGTAAACATAAAATGCTACTTCCCTTAGAAATTGATAGTTTAGGTCTTGCCCAAACAAAGATGTCATTCAGAATATGTGTTTTTAGTAGTCATCAGTATTACTGGCAACTTACGAGATTTATTTACACAGTCTAAATGGACATGTCTCATTTGAGCTGTTCTCTAACTTTGACTATTTCCCAAGTTTCACCTGTCTTGAGCGCTGTGATGAGTAAGGTGTAAAGAGTCCCAAGACAAGTTTGTGATATTATTTAAAAAAACATGCATAGCTTCTTCACCTGAAAACAATGATTTCTGAGCAAGTTTTAAGGATTCTGACAACTTGAAATGCAGTCAATTAAAATCTGTCAAAAGTTAAAGCTAAAAATATTCAATTCTGGTTTACTTTGTCAATTGTAATTTTTAAATCTGACTTTACCTTTCAAAAACAAACAAAAAATTCTCACTTTTCATAAAACTGTGTAAAAAATGGAGGAAACTCTGTACACCGAAGAAACACTTTCCCTCAACAAAACAGAAATATTTTATATCTGTGTCGCCTGCAGTAAACTGGTGGCTACAATTTATATTTAGCTGAAACCAATTTTGCCTTATCATTGTTTATTACATTGTCCTTTAGCATAGATACCAGCCACTAAAGGACCTATTACTAAAATATGTCCAATGTAAGTTTAAACACACATTATTATATCAGAGCTTCCTGGTTCTTCCTGTATGTACACAAAATTTGCTATTATTTTGTTTTCTATTTTTCTTTTCCCTTATTCCCCCTTATTGAATTTTTTTTCTCATAAAACTTAGTCATTATTTATAAAAAATTTGTCTATGTGATAATTCCCTATTGGGATGACTTAGTCAATAGAATTTCAGAGCAGTTGTGATATTAAGTGCAAAAGAAAGAAGAGATTTTAGGTCTGAAGAGATGAATAGCTCTTTAACTTTGAAAAATTAAAAAATTGACAACATTGATATTTTTAGAATTCAGAATGTTTTAAGCCTCCTTTGAAATGAACATATACAATTTTTTATGCTTTAGTGTGTATGGGAGGTTTTACCCCTTCCACCTTTTTTGGCAGATGACATCATAATTCCTCTTTTTTCTTTGTAAGTTCATTTGTTGAGAACCTCTGCTTCAGACTCACAGTAGCCGATGCATAATTTTTAGAAGCTCTTTGTATCAGTTGAGCTGTCAACTCTGTGAGAAATTCTGCTTTATGTTAAATGTCTCCGATAAATTATTTTCTATGGATTGTCAGCTAAGTACACGTCAACACATGCATTCCAAAGAGCAGCACAGATATTACCCGATTTCTCTAATGAAGTATTGTGTCCTTGTCAACTGATATTGATTCCCCTGGTTGTTTTGTTCTGTTTTCATCTCTGTATATGTCTTCTCCTGTTTTAAGCCCCCTTAACTTCCTGAGGATGCATATTTTCCTTTCTTCATTTGTATTTCCTCTTTTCTATCAATATTGTGAGCTTTTTTATTGTGTTACTAACCTGAAACAATTGACTTATACTCTGAAAGTTTTGAAAATAAAAGAAAATAAAGATTATCAAGGGGATTTTTGTAAGCTATTTTGAGAAATAAAAACATATTTCTAATTTTTATTTATTAATAATAAAATCCTTTAAATTATATTTCCAGGCATCTGACTATCCAGTTATACTGTCTTTGGAGAACCACTGCAGCCCTAAGCAACAGGAAGTAATAGCAGACTATTTAGAAACTATTCTAGGTGACAAACTTCTTACTTCACCAATTGGTGATGCAGCAGTGACTCAACTACCTTCTCCTGAGGTAAAAACACTGCATTTTTCTCTGTGAAAGACAGGGGAAAAACACTGATTTTTTTGAGTTTTTGTTTGTTTGTTTTGGTTTGTGGTGTTTGTTTGTTGTTTTTTTTTTAGTCTTCTGAAGCTGAATTTATGAACTGCTTATCTGGTGTCTGGTGTAATTATTTTGATATCCAAAATAATTAAACAACACAAAAGAAAACCATAAACATTGAAACATTGTAAAAGAGGAAACAAAGTATAAATTTTTAAACATTATGCTTTGAACCACGATTTTAAAACCTTCACTTTAAAAGTGTTTAGTGTATCTGTTTTCTGCTAATTTATTTTTTATTCCTTAGATTGAAAGGATTTCCTGAATTTTAAGCATGTTATTGAAATGGAAACCTGAATCTACATTTTTTGTCAATAACAATGTTAATAGGACTATTTCATCAAGTTCTGTTACTGCAAAAACACTGTTTGTTTCTCAGTGTGTTTCTCCCTAAGGCAGTGTTTCTCAGCTGGTAGCTTATATTAATTGCAGTGGTCAGTAAGCGAGTTTGCATGATCCATTCCAAAGTACTTGCAACTTTATCTTGGAGTCTTATATTCAGCTGTTATGGTTTGTGTTGTACATCACATTAACCAAAATTTCTATTTAGTATAACAACTAAGTTTTGTTCGTTTAATTTTTTTAATATGTGTTCCAATTGATTGTACTTGGAGACTTTTACTTATGCAAGCCTTGGAGTCCCATTACGGTCTAGGGAAGATCTATTATGTTTTACATATTTAATCTGCTTTAATATTTTTACAGTTTATATATAAGTACATAGTAAACATATTTCTAAAATATTTTTTCTTTTATATTTAAACTAGAAAAGATAAGTTCTAGTGAATGTTCAGACTTTAGGCTCATTTTCTGCTTAAAAGTTTGAGACATTTGTACAAAAAGATGCCACATGTTTAGCACTCCTGATTACCAATTGAAGATCTCTAATTTCACATAGTCACTGATTTTGTAACCATGTATTTGTCATAAATTTTTCTGAAGATCTGTTTGAAGCTCAGTCTTAAAATCTGTGGTATGTTTTTTTTCAGTTCATGGTTCAGGTTCAGTGATTTGGGTTAGCTATTATTGAAGTCTGCTTCTGGCCAAAAAAATAGCAAAATTTTTTCTTGCTAGAGTATTTTCTGTAAATGTTTTTGAAAAGAGAGCTGTGATTTTAATGTGATCTTTATAGAAAAGAAATTAAATGTTTGTCCTCCCTTGGAGTTTTTCCATCTTTGCTAATAGTTCATAAACAGCATTTTAGAAACTATCTGATTTAAAACATCATGGCCCACTTTTATATGATGACACAGATCATGGTCTTTTTTCACTTAAAGCAAGTTTATATATAGGAGGCAGTAATATATTCATGGAAAGGTTTTCCTACCTTTGCATACCAAGGTTTTTTTTAATTTGTAGAATTAAATCTTACCTATGAATAACAAAAAACAAAACCAAAAGTGGACAGAATTGCTTTTAAATATTGGGAAATATGAAGATGCAAAGGAAAACTCAGAACTCTTGAAAATATGAGTAGCATTATTCATATTAAAACTCTTCTAAAAATATCATAGGAAAAAAATGAGTACATCAATAACAAATGAAGGAAATGTTAAAGGGCCTCCTTATTCTGAATCACCAGTGCAGAGACACTAATAAAATCTTACATTAGCATGGCATTGATAGATATTAAACACACGATGTCTCATTCCACTGGCACACTGACAAACTGCTAATACTAGATCTTAAGTGATAAGGGGATTATTGGCAATGGAGACTGCAATGGAAATAAATGGAATGTCTATTACTTTGCCTACGGCTCTAGTTTCTGTTATAAAGCTTTGGGTTTATAGATGTGTTTCTATCATCCATGCTTTTTATTTTTACTCAATGGATACCCTAAATTACAGTATTTAAATATCTTTTATTAATGTGTTAGTATTTTTCCTTGTTTCTGTAATGCTCTGAGCAGCAAAGCCTTCTTTTTGATTAGTGCATATGAAACTTAAGGAATATTTTTGTGGATCACTTTATCCAAGAACCTAAGTAAGTCTTGTTACTCACTGAGAGCTCCTGTGTACAGTGGTAGAGATGAATGTCTGCTACATAATAAATCTTCATCATTCTCATTACTGCTGTTTAACCTTTTTTCTACAGGCATTGAAATTCAAAATTCTGATAAAAAATAAGAAAGTTGGAACAATTGAGGAAGGTATGCTCAGAAAAGATGTTGACAGTCACGGTGAAACTATGGAAATTTCTGATTCTGAAGATCTATCTGATGAAGATGAGACTGATGAAAAACGCCGTCTTGTCCAAAGGACGAGTTCGCGCAAAAGAAAATGTGAACGTAAACCTTCACCTCCACCTCGAAAAAAGGCAAAGGTAACTTTTGTCTCAATTGAATTTAGAAAACATAGATGTATGACAGTTGTTTTGTTGGTTTTCGGTTTTTTGTGTGTTTTGTTTGTTTGTTTGGTTTTTTTTAAGGAATATTTTGTTAAAATAGAGACTAAATTTAAATTATAGGATTTAAAATTATTTAGATAAAAATATTTTGAAATATTTTTTAGCTCAAGGTTTCAGAGATTTCCTGGTTCTTACACAACACTCCAAACTGAAATGTGTTTTAATATTCAACTGAAAACACTCCTTCCCTGCACTCTCATCCTAAACTCCACCTGTGTTTTTCACCTTCTGTTGGAGTGGAAGTGTATATTCTGAGGCCTCACTTTACTCTGTTGAAGTATGGGAGAGAACCCAACATATATTAGCAATGCTGTTCACTTTCTCTGTGTCACTACCTTCCACATCCAGAAAGTTGTATTATTCAGGAGGTCTGTTCCAGCAGAGTCCTATTGCTTCTCATGGAACATAGCCTCAGAATAATTAATGCATTTGAACTTTGCCTAGTTTAAGAGCCACAAGCAGGCAATTCCTATTGTTTTGTCAGATGCGAATTTGCCTTCAAATGCTTTAATGGAATATAAACATTATTAGTACCATTAGCTCTTTGTTGGTTGCTACCACTGATTAGCTCACAAGTTCATGCTAAGTAAAATGAAAAGGTCACATGGTATCTCAGTTTAAGAGATAAGACCCTTGGTGAAATTTCAGTCACTTCAACGTGCCCTTGGTTTTGCCTGCTGTGACAACAGAGCAAGGCTAAACAAAGATTTCGACTAAAGAGTTTTCCATCTTAATTAAGAAGGACAGAGTTTTCCTAACTTCAGAGCAATGCTTGGAGGAATATATCTATGATTGATTTGCTTGGCACAGTAAAAATATTCTTCTATTCTTCTACGTTTTGTAGTTGAGTTTGTGCTATTGATGTATAGATTCTCCTGTTCTTTTATTTATTTTTTTGAATTTTCCCCTCCAAGTACTTCCTACCAGTGTACTTTAGGAATATAAAGTTGGACACGTATTTTAAATAAGTAATGTTAAGAGCCACGAAAAAATGTGTTATTTTACATATCAGTTTCAGAAACAGGGAAATTATAAAGGTGTCCAGCAGAACACTGTGCTAGGCAACCTTGGAAGCATGTCTCCACTCACCCTGTAATTGCTATGATGAACTTAGAGACAATAACCTTAATTGTCTCTGACTGGATCAACTCTCACTATCATAAATCGTATATTAAGCTCATGTGTTCAATAATTGTGACACATTTTCTTGTGCTTCATGCAACAAAATGATAGCTTCTTCTGAATTGTTAATAATAATAATGAAATACATGTTACTGTGATTTTTGTATTTTTCCATTATTTTATATTATGATTATTAGAAGAAGAAGACAAAAATTGCCCTTGCGTTGTCGGACCTTGTGATTTATACCAAATCTCAGAAGTTTGTGAGCTTTGATTATTCCTTAGCTAATCAGAAGTGCTATGAAAATAATTCAATTGGAGAGGTTCGAGCACAAAAATTTGCAAAACATTCAGGTAATTTCTTTTGATTTAAAGTTACAAAGTTGCTATGGTTCACTGCTTAGGCATTGGAAGGGTTAAAATGCTATAAAACACCTGCTGTACAGTTTTATTTGGTTGTTTTTATAACACTGTTTTAGAAATATCTTGTAATCTGCACTGCATTTTTATATTTCAGTCAGTTTTTTGAGGAAAATTGAAACTCAGCTTTGTTTTAATTTCATGTAGTTTTATAAGAACAAATATTGACACTGTACACAAAATGCCTTTTTATTTTTTATTTTCTGCTTCAAATAATTTAGAAGTAAGTCAATGCTTGAAAATATGTGGACTAGATTTCACACCTCCCCATGTATGGTCTGTAGTACTCACTGGAGTTGGACATGCAGTACCCCTGATGATAACTGCAGATAAGAGAATCCACATTGATGGAATGAATAAACGCCATAGCAGGCAGTTTGCTCCATTGGACCAGATCTTTCATATGAGCCGAGCTGGATTATTCAAAACTCATTCTGTGTTGGAGTGTCTCCATTTGGTGCAGCCAACACAGTGCAGCCTCTGCTGTTTTAACTCCAGCTGTCTGCCAGCAGCCCTAAGGGAGTGTTACGAATGGACATCACTGACCATGAGAATGAAGTCTGCCACAGGCTTGGTTATTCAGGGCCAGCCCAGCTGCTATCCACCACTTTGTGGAGATTATATTCACAAGGCTGTGGATGCTATCTACCTGGACTTTAGTAAGGCCTCTGACACTGTCTCCCACAGTATCCTCCTGGAGAAGCTGGCTAGGCTGGACGGGCATACGCTTCGCTGGGTTAAAAACTGACTGGATGGCCGAGC